AGAGAGAGAGACAGAGACAGACAGACAGAGAGAAAGAGAGAGAGAATCCTAAGCAGGCTTCTTACCACCCACGCAGAGCCCAACACAGGGCCCGACTCTACAAACCAAACTGTGAGTGCATGACCTGAGCCAAAATCGAGAGTCAGACACTCAACTGACTGAGTCACCTAGGCACCCCTCTGTTCAAATTTGTCACCAACTCACAGGACATACTATTTCCTTATTTATCTTGCTATTGTCTATCTCCTTTTGCCACAGTTGGATCCAGGATTCAGGAGTTTTCTCTCTTTGGTTTAATAAACTAAGTTCCTGCACTTAGTACATACATAAATGTATTATAAGAAATTACACAAATAAATGAAGGAAATATAATTTTTTTTGCAAAATGATTAGTTTTCATATTTGGGGTTATTCCTCAAAAAAGAAGTCCATAGTTCACTCCTGCGGAAGTTTTAAAAGTTCTTCTGTTATACACTGAGAAAGGGCTCTTCTCTGAATTGTGCATAAGAAACTGGAAGAAAAACTTTCACCTCCAATATTCTCACTTTACCTCAGAGTCAATTATTAGACTTACCAGATTAGTTCTTTACTCTTATTATAATTACTGTAACTTTTTTTTGGTCATGTTAGAGAAGATACACATTTGAAGTTTTGTCAGCAGCCAGTGAATAATTCAAACAATTCAAATGTGTCTTTAAATGTCATTTCCAAAGTTAAGAGAAAAAGTAACCTCACTAAAGTTGCAATTCCTACCAAATGTCAATGCACTGTAAAAGGGTTGTGAAATCTTTTGAGTTTGTATAATCTATTAAAAGCATGTTCTCATGAGAAGTGAAACACATCTCCGCAGTGTCAGCTGTTTATAAAGTCATGAAAAGTTTATAGAAGCTACAATAGGAAAGCCATAATGAAAGTGTTCCAATGTCAACCTATTTGGAAACAAACCCTTCAGTTTTCCCTGTTTTTATTATAAAAATATTATAACAATATGAAAGATACATTGGGAAAAATGAAAGAAGTCTGCTAATTCTACCGTCTGAGAAGGGCTTAATATTCAACGTATGTAAAGAACTCATAGACTTCAACACCAAAAACAAAAAGAAGCCACAAAAACAAAAACTGCATTAAAAATTTGCAGAGGAACTGAATAAACATTTTTCCATCTGTATAAAGATATACAGATGAACAAACATATGAAAACAGTCTCAACATCACAAATTATTAGGATAATGCAAATCAAAACCACAGTGAGATATCACCTCCTACTTGTTAGGATGAGGAGTATCAAAAAGAAAAGAAATGAAAAGTGTTGGCAAAAATGTGGAGACAAGGGAATCCTTGTGCACTGTTGGTGGGGATGTAAATTGATTCAAACATTGTGGAAAAAGTATGGGGGTTCCTCAAAAAAGTAAAAGTATAAATATCCAACAATTCCACTTCTGGGTATTTATCTGAAGAAAATAAAAACACTAACTTGAAAAGATATATACACCACTTTGTTCATTATAGTATTTTTTTTTAATTTTATTTTTTTTGAGACAGACACAGAGGATGAGTGGGGGAGGGGCAGAGAGAGAGGGAGACACAGAATCTGAAATAGGCTGCAGGCTCTGAGCTGCTAGCACAGAACCCGATGCGGGGCTCGAACCCAAGAGCCATAAGATCATGACCTGAGCCAAAGTCGGACGCTTAACTGACTGAGCCACCCAGGCGCCCCCATTATAGTATTATTTTTAAGTCTATTTATTTTTGAGAGAGAGAGCAAGAGCAAGAGCGAGAGCGAGAGAGAGAGAGAGAGAGGGAGCAAGCTGGGGAAGGGTAGATAGAGAGGGAGAGAGACAATCCTAAGAAGGCTCTGCACTGTCACTGCAATGCCCTATGAGGAGCTTGAACTCAGAAACCATGAAATCATGATTTGAGCTGAAACCAAGAGTTGGCCACTTAACCCATTGAGCCACCCAGGGGATCCAATTATAGTATTATTTACAATAGCTGACATATGGGAGCAACTTAGGTGTCCATCAATAGATCAAAAGATAAAGAAGATATATATCAAGGAATATTACTCAGCCATAAAAATGAAATATTACCATTTGACAGCATGAGATAGGCCTGGAGGATATTACGCTAAGTGAAATAAGTCAGACAAACACAAATACCATAATTTCACAAAACAAATAAACAAGCAAAGCAAAACAAAACAGAAACTCATAAATACAGAGAATAAGCCAATAGTTGCCAGAGGGGAAGTGAATAGGGAGATGGGCAAAACAGGTGAAGGGGATTAAGAGGTACAAACTTTCAGTATGAAATAACTAAATAAAGGGTGCCTGGGTGGCTCAGTCTATTAAACATCCAACTTTGGCTCAGGTCATCATCTCATGGTTTATGAATTTGAGACCTGCGTCGGGCTCTGCTGATAGCTCAGAGCCTGGAGCCTACTTCAGATTCTGTGTCTCCTTTTCTCTCTGCCCCTCCCCCTGCTCATGCATGTGGGTTCTCTCTCTCTCTCAAAAATAAACAAAATACCCCCAAAACCCCTAAGTAACCAGAGATGTAAAGTACAGCACTGGGAATACATTATTCCCAGTCATTATTAATACTGTAATAATTTTGTATGGTGACACATGTAACTAACTTATAGTGATCACTCTGTAATATACAAAAATATCATATCATCATATTGTATACCTGAAACCAATATATCATATGTCAACTATAACTATACCTCAATAAAAAAAGTCTGTCACCTCATCACCTTAATTTAAGAAAAAATACCTTCATACTTTCATACATATCCCTGTTACATAGTTGTTATCACAGTGTAGATTACCATCTGGTCTTACATATTTCCCTTAAAATCTTATCAGTATTTTTATACTTCAAATTATTTTTTTTCAAATTTAAACAGATAGGCCAAATAACAATTCATCAAATGTATATATCATATTCATAATGTAATTTTTCCTGTAATGTAACTTTTAAGAAATTTCTCCCTTCTCTTTGGAGGACAATGTGTTACTAATACAGATGATGATATGACAGATATTTGCATGATTTAGCTTTGTTTTTTTTTTTTAAACATTTCTTTAGCATAATTCACCATATGTTGAACCAGTAGATGCAAGAAAAACCATTTTAAACTTTTCGGTATCTATTGCCTGACTACTCCTTAAAAAGATCATGGGAGTGAATGAATGAATGAAGATAATACAAATTTACAAGGATTCCCGTCATATAGGAACATGGTAGTTTTGAGCCAAATTTACCATTATTCAGTAATAATATTTTATAATCACTTAGATTTTGATACCTGTTAATAAATAAAAGCTTTGAGGTATCATTTATTAGTGTGGAAGAGATATTTTCAAGTAATTATTTTTCTTATTTCGTTTTGTTTATTCATATCAATTGTTCGTACCTCCACAGAACTTTCTTTATATAGATATGAGTAAAGTCTTCATATGTGATATATATTTAATGTATATTCTTTCTTCTAAGATTGTTCCTTATTCAGACTTATCCAACTCTTAATTTCATTTTTAAGAGTCAGGGTAAATAATAACTCGGTAGTCTTCCTTCTTATTTAAAAACAAAAGCTTCGATTTTGTACGAACAGTCAAAAATGTATATGAATGAAAACAGAATTAATGTATTTGTGGAACCAATAGCCCTCTACACTTAGAAATATATCCATAAAAGGGATGAAGGTCCGGGTGGACATATCCATACTGTGCCTGATGCTATTGACATCCATTCTTGGTAGTGCATTCATCCTTGAATTGAAGTATAGGTTTGAATATTGGCTGTGCCATTTCCTAGCCATGTGACCTCTGTCAAATAATTTATTTAATTGAACTTTTAAAATATATGTAAAATAGGATTATAGGATCAGTTTAAGAATTATGGAAATGTAAAATAGTTTTTATAAATTTCCTGGTACACAGGTAACAATCCATACATAATTTCTTTTCAATACCATTTTTTTTAACATGGACTTTTCTTCTTTTACCTTCACAGCATCTCCAAGAGCAAACAGCAGTATTTTCTCCATTTTACAAGGTTAAGAAACTAAGACCTAAAATGTTTAAGTGACTAGTTAATGTTACATAACTAGGAAGCAGGGAGGGTTGGATTTGAATAGATGCACTATCCTTGGAGAATATTAGCTCCTAAATACTGCACAAAACATTTACAATCTCAGTGACTTTTCTATCATTATTTTCACATGGCCAGTGAGAATGCCAATCCCCATTTTATGCCGTGTAAATCTCGGCCGTTCTTCAAGATGAACCTAAATCCACACATCTGCACAAAGACCTCTGTGAATCTTCCCCCTAAGTTCTGTTGACCTCTCCCACATCCCCATAGCAGTTTTCCATAGCAAACTCTTACAGCCACTTAAGTTGCTCAAATCATAGCATACCTATTTGCCTTAGATCATGGATTCTATTGTTCTCATCTCTTTCTACATCTAGTTCAGTGAAGCGCTTATAGTAAATATCCAAACAATATCTGTTATGTAAGCAAATACAGGAAGTAATAGGTGTTAGGTTAAAGCCAAAAGTATTACGTGAAAAGTAAGGAAATGAGACCAATTAAAATATCCTCAATCACATTTTGAATAAAGTCAACAAATTTTAAACAAAATATGGACAATTATACACCAAAAATTTCTTGCTACTTTAATCTACAAAGTATTTAGCGTATTTCATATATATTTATGCACACACGTACACTTTTCACTGCCAGAAAACCTAGCAGAAATCTCTATTTTTTAAACCACTGAAAAAACCAGACCATATAATTAGTGATAGGATAAAATATTCTACAAAAAGTTATTGATTTTATATATATGTATATATACACATATATATGTATATATATATACACACTCACACACACATTTATACATATCATCTATCATACACACACATACATACACACGGTAGACACATATAATCAATGGAAGTAATTCTGGAAAAACATTAAACTTTTACCGTTTGTCCTAAAGACGGCAGCACTGATTTTTCCACTTTCCTCTCTTTACAACTGAGACCTAAAATCTTTATCACATAGTATTTCAGCAACTGGTCCATGAAGAAAGGAAATGACACATTTGTGTGTTGAAAATTTTTCTTAACAATGCATTTCAATAGTACTCTCATCAGTGCACAAGTTTGCAAAATCTAAATTTGTAAGATAACTCATTCCTCTTCCCATTTAGGACATAAGAAAAGAGAAGTAAAAGGAAAAAGAAACAAGGGTTATTGTAACAGGGTACATGATGTGTGGCAGATTAGTTTTTCCCTTTTTATGAAATATGTATGTCTTCTATAACATTCTCATTGACTATTATTTTTGTTTACCCTCATTGTCTTCTATTCTAATTATCTCCTCTTTCATATTCTACATGAGAGAAGATTCCATGTTTAAGTAATTTTTTTTCATCTTTTTTGCTATAACTCTCATCTCCAGCTTCAAATACAAAGCGTATGAGAGAAGGACACGGACACCTACTAAGTAAAGTAATCATCCAACAACGCTCACTTCAGCTCTATCTACACTGATGTTAAAATTATTTATAGATTCCTTTTGAGTACCTGACAAGTGGTTCATTTCCCCAGGAGTGCAGTGAAGGAAAGAGGTCTCAGGCATGGGTTCCAGGAAAAAAAGTTTCCTTCACCTTCTACCACCCGTCAGCATCTCCACTTTGCATCTCATTTAATCACAAATTCCAGTACAACGCACGCAAAAGCATGTAACATTCCATTAATGTATTCATTTTGAAATCTAATTCTTCTGGGAGCGGGTGCTTCTTTACGTTTCACGAAAATTTCTCGGTGCTCGAAACAGAGAGGGATGACACTTCCTAACAGAAGACCACCAAAATGGTCTGCCATGATGCCCGTGGACACCACAGTACACTCGGTCAGAAGGCAACAGGCCCTGTGGAAAGAATACAGGTGCAGGAAGATTGCACAGTGTTTGGGAGACAGCAGCTAAGGGTGTCCCACGGCCATTCTTAAAGGCTAACAGTAATAGCAACAGAGACGTGGAATCAAGCAGCAGAGCCTGTTAGTTCGTTAGCCAGGCAGCTTTAGACAAGAAGTTAGGATCACAGACGCGGATGCGGACTGAATCAGATGAAGGCGGGTAGGCTACTCCTTAACCATGTTAGTTTAAATTTATCACCAAATTCTTAGGGAAGAACTGGAGGGGAACATCAGAACTCACTCTATTTCCTTTATGATCATTTGTAAATATATCCTTTTATAGAATATGGTCCTATTGGCATCTTTAAAAAATCTGCGATTTAAGAATTCCTTTGTATATTGTTAAATTTATGTGCCCCTGTCACCACTACGTGATTAGCAAAGTCAGACTCGAGGAATTACAGGCTAAGATCAACTTTCCAAAATTCTATCTTAATGAGGCTTATTTCTGTCAGAGTGGGCTATATTTCTAGGATGTCTCTGTAATATTGGTATGTATGTATTTTTACTGCCACAATGCTACCCACTTCTCTATTTGATTACTTCCACAATCCTCAGCCAGACTCTCTGTGTTTATACATATACATACATGCAAATATATACATTTATTATAGCATATTATATCACATTATATCATATTATATATTACATTATGATTATATATAATATTACATTATGATTATATCATAAATTATCATATGTTATATATATGATATATTACAGTTAACCCTTGAACAAAATGGCTTTGAATAAAATGGGTTCTTTCAGACATTGGATTTTTTTCAATACATGAGGTATAGTACTATAAATGTATCTTTCATCCTTATGATTTTAGTAATATTTTCTTTGTTCTAGCTTACTTTATTCTAGCAAGAATATAGCATATAATACATATGCAAAATATGTGTTAATCAACTGTTTATGTTATTGGTAATTCTTTGGTCAACAGTAGACTATTAGTGATTAAGTGTTCGGGGAGTCAAAACTTGTATGTAGATTTTCAAGTGGTGGGGGGTTGGAAAGTCAGGGCCCCTAACCCTTATGTCATTTAAGCATCACCTATATATATGCATACATGCATATATTAATATTATACTATACTACACGATATTAGCTATTAGCTCTTACTCTATGTAAGATATCTTACCAGAGAACCAGGTAGAAAATGTTCAGGTCAAGCTAATGATTGATGAAAGAAGAGAGGGAATGTTCAGGAGTTAGGGCTTTACATTCATCATTCCGTTTGGTTTCACAGCAACTTTGTCAGGTCGTTTTCCCAATTAAGAAATTGGGCCTTAGAGATATTAAGTAAACTTGTGAAGATCACAGAACTACGAGTCACCTGAACTGGTATTTAAACCCAGTTAAGTCTGATTTCAAAACTAAGCAAAAGAGACACTTTTCAGTTTCTCAGTGTATGTATTATCAGGGATCTTTATCACGAATGTTATACAGAAAACAAACCACAAACATGGGTCCATAGCAGACCATCTACAGAATGGCTTTACTATCAGCTGTGGGCTTGCTTATGAACATATGCATCTAGCGTGAAGGCTATATAACATATATAATACTCAAATAAAGTTTCATAATTAAATACAAAAATTGACTTAAGTCTCATGGGGTTCATTGTGCAAGAGGTATTCATGCTGAAGTAAAAAACAAACAAACAAAAGATATATTTTACACCCATTAAGAGATATACCTTTGTATATCTCAAATTGCAACTGGTCATTAGTTACAAGGTAAGCTCTATCATATATTTATGTGATCAATTTGCAAAGATATTAATTTTTTTCCTATTCAGAACCCAAAGCAGCGATTTAAATACAATAATGTTGCAATGGTCATATCTCTCCATGTGACTATAACGCATTTATAGAACTATCATACTTCATCAAAACGGATATTGAAAAACTTCATTCTAGCAGACTTTTGTCTGATGACAAACAGAAAAAAAAAGCCTTGATGTTATCAGTAACACTTTATATAAATAACTTTTCTACAGAAGTACTCATTAAAGTTAAAATAGACTAACTGTGGTATCAGAACTGAGCAGTACCTTTTTTCCTATGAAATCTAATAAAAATGTTTTGGTTCAAGCACACAATCTTACAGTTATGCTGTTGATTAAAGTTTTAGGGTTTTTAGCAGGAATTTTAATTTAATTTACAAATGAACTGTGTTTCCATAGCTGGTTAGAAACTATACAACCATGCAATTTAGGTCTAAATTTCTGTTTCTATTTTAACATAAAGTTATAGTAAAAATATCAACACTCAGTGAGGTGGAGGGACCAATATGTTTACTTTCCCTTGAGAAACAGTGCACTTTACACACTGTTCGTTTCTAAAAGACAGTGCATGAAAATCTTCTAGATCCAGCCTGGACATCTCAAGAGCTTGGAAGTCACCATGCACGCATGTCCCTGCACCAGAAAAGAAGCCAAACGAACTGAAAATCAATGACTTTTCATGGAACCATCAGAGAAATGAGACCCTGGCGCAAACTCCCATCCAAATTTGAGAGAGGTAAATGCAGAAGCTCGTAGCTTACCTGGAGCAGAGGCCACTACAGTCATACACCAGTGAGGACACTTACATGGCAATTTTGACCAATTGTTGGAGTACTAATGAGGGCTGGTATCAGAGACTCCGGGGGCTGAGGGCTGACGGGACGCCCTGTGCACTTCTGGGCTTTGCCTCCAAGAACCACCCCAGGATCTGAAAGGGAAGAGCCAGAGAAAATCACCTGGTGCCTAAGGCAGAGGAAGGGGAAAAGTAACCCTTTAAAACTCACCCAGAAGCATTCTCCATAATGAAGACTTTACTAGAAACTTATCTCACCTGGGCAGGCTGAAAGACAATTACCCAACTCTAGCTTCCATCCTGTCCTTTATAAGGGGTAGAGGGAGGAGCTGAGCAGCCACCTGACAGGGGCCAGTGTTTAGTCCGGGATTACAGAACACTTCCCTACCCCCATATCTCACTACCCAGCAATGAGGCTTCAGTAGGATAACAGTGAGTTATGGCTCAAAGAGCTTCAAAGTTCTTTTTAAAGGAAAGTTTATCTGGAAAAACAGCTACAGATACAGCAAATATTAAGCACAACCGAATTCCTAGCCAGGCCATCATAAAAGCTCACACTAACAGGCCTATTACCCTCAGTTTCTATTACCTGATACATCATCTCCAACTTTCAACACAAAATTGAAAGGCAGACTAAAAATCAAGACAGTGCATGCCAGGCCCTAGTAGTCATGCAGACCTTGGACAGTTAGGGAAGTGGAGGGAGTAGAGTGTGCACAAAATACTAGTGACTAATTTCCTGGTAATCTCAGCTGTCTCCCCAATGCAACATTAACAATTCAGCCTTTCCTCGTGATTCATGTCTTAATGACACAAAAATACCGGTTAAGAAGACAAGTAAATGTAACTCATTTGTAAGTGATACTTTAAAAACACGAATGCACATTGCCCCAGATTTAGGGAAGTGTGGCTTCAGAATTACAGTGGCAAACCCATGCAGTTTAAATAAGTTTAAAGGTGGTAAAAATGTCAGGTGCCTAGAGAGTCCAGTCAGTTGAGCCTCTGACTCTTGATTTTGGCTCAGGTTATGATCCTGGGATTGTAGGATCAAGCCCTGCTTTGGGCTCCGTGCTGAGTGTGGAACCTGATGAAGATTCTCTCCTTCTGCCCAAGCCCCACTTTGGGCTCCATGATGACTGCGAAGCCTGATGAAGATTCTCTCTTTCTGCCCCATGCTCTTCCTAAAATTAACAAAAAAAAAAAAAAAAAAAAAAAAAAAAAGTGGTAAAATTGTCAATTAACTTAATCCTGAGCAAAGTTCATTAAACAAATTCTTATCCAGAAGTCTCCTAGAATGATAAGAGATGTGAGCCTATGTACTCAACAAGAGAACAGGACTTGTACCTTAGCCAAGGGAATTATAGCAAGGTGGATACTTAACTGTACAGCAATTTCTCATATTCCACAGCCTTTTCTTTTTAGAGTGAAATGCTTTCAATTTAAATTGACAGAACTTAAACACTCTTCAAAAATATCTCTAGGGTCCCCTGGCCAGTGACAGAGCACAAA